TTTTTTTGCATTTCAATTAGATTTTTCATTTATTTTTTAGAACATTTTTTTATAAAGCATATTTTTAACAAATTTTACTTAAAAAATATTGCATATATTCACAAATAAATGTATAAAATAAAACCATCAAGAATAAAAATTACTAGAATTAATTAAAAAGGGTCGGACTTAAAGTGGGACAAGCTGCACGAATATGCACGACGTGCTTTGGCGGGCGACGAGTTTTCGTGGGGTGGGCTTTAGAGGACGATAATCTTTAGTAGGGCAGGCTTTGGTGGACGGGGCTCAAAATCCAAACCCAACCCGCTATTTTTTGGCGGGTGGACGGGCCATGGCCCGTTTTGCAACCCCAAGGAGTGATTAGGACTTGAAGATATTTCTTTTATAATACTTCCTATGTCCTTAAATATAAGACCTTAATTAAGAAAGTAGGTTAGAGTATTAAATTTATTGACTATTTGTACAATTTTACAAGTATATCTTTAGGAAATATAAAAAAATTAATGTTTATACAAGTGTATTTATTACACATTATAGAAAAATGTAATATGATTAAGGGTATTGATCTTACCGGTTTATCAGAACCTGCAAGGTGGTCGGATATCCGATGATCTTCAGATGGACTGGAAAGTCGAGGAGGAAAAAGGGGGGTTGTACCTGCAAGGCACTCCGACAATCAAGTAAGTGTGAGAGCAAAAGAGATACAAGCAAAGTATTAGGGTTTTAGTGATGAATAGTCAATATTTGATACCTGGCCCTCACATGAGTGAGGGTTTATATAGTGCCCATGGCGCTTGGCCATTGATCCCTATTTTTGGGTCTAGATATGCGGGTCCGCAAAAATAGGTAAATATCAGGACTTGGTCAAACCGGGCAGGTTTTCCCGCAACTAGTTGTTAGTTCCGATGAAGAGGTAGGTTACAGACAGCGGTATAGTCAGTTTCTGGTTGTCTAGCCGACTTGAGGTCGGGCAGACTGAGAGGCGCCCGTCGATTGTCGTAGGTCAGTGTTGGTCCAGAAGGACAAATGATTGATGGTGCCCGACAGAGGGTGAGGGAGATCGGGTCGTGGTCGCACGGGTCATGCTGAAGGAGGAGGTCAGGTTGGGCCTACTCTAGCTGTTGATCCAGTCTAGAACAGTAGTCCCCCAAGTCGTTGCTTTTAGGCACAGGAGTCATGACTTTAACACCTGCTCGTGGAATAGGGTGATTCTTACGAGGAGCGTGAGCGTCGCCCCTTGTCGAGGAAGAGACTGAAGAATGATGATTGATAGTTTTTTATTACGCTCCGGCCTGCGTGTCGTAACGTTGTAATTCTGTTTTTCTTGGATTTTGCCCGTTTATGTAAGTTCTGGGCAAGTGTGGCCATTGTGGTCACAAAATTATTTGTTTGGATGGGGGGCTAAATGCCTTCCTTGTTGTAATATTTGTACAATAGAAGCCCTGACATTCGTATCTTTTAATTTTTCGGCCATGGTGGTTGTTTGTTCCAAATATTTGACTTGTTTTTGCATGTTTATTGTTATGCTTGTCTGCTTGAGACATATTTTATTTTGCTAAGAGTTTATAGCGAGGATTTGCTCGTTTGATTTATATGTTTGCCAGTATGGGGAAACTAGACAAATGTCCAGGGTGAATATCAGGCATGGGCCGGAACTCATGTCTCGTTTCGAGGAACTGAGCTCGGCGGCGTGAACTTCCCGTCGCGAGTCGGGTGCTCGTCCATCATGGTACGAGGATGATGGAGCTCGGTCGAGTTATCCATGTCGGGCTAAGGACACGCTCGTTAAAAGAGTGGAATCTCACCCCTTTAAAATATTTTGGGTTGCTTGTACCTAGGCATGCACGCGTGGTCGGGCCTGGATGAGTCTGTCTTATTGACGAAACTCGCCGAATGCTTAGTGTTTTAACTGTAATATTGTTTTAGCTTTTCAGCATTCCATGGTCGAGCAAGTTGTTCCCCCTGTAGATTTTCTAAGTAGTACGCCCCGGTCTTTGTTTTTGCGTAGACGAGTATCTCTTGGATGAAGGACTTAATCTACCTCTCTTCTTTGTGCTCGCAAGCTTCGACATGATGTTCGCTCGGTGTTACATTCATGGGGAACATATGCCTGCTCGGCAGCTGCGTTCGCGGGGAACATGTGCCTACTCGAAAGTTGTGTTCGCGAGAAACATATGTCTGTTAGGCTGGAGTGTTCGCGGGGAACGTATGCCTTCTTGACAGTTGTGTTCGCGGGGAACATGTGTCTGCTGAGCAGTTGTGTTCGTGGGGAACATGTGCCTATTTAGCAGTTGTGTTCGCGGGGAACATGTGCCTGCTCTGCAGTTGTGTTCGCAGGGAACATGTTCTTGTTGAGCGATTATGTTTACGGGGAACATGTGCCTGCTCGACAGTTGTGCTCGTAGGGAACATGTGACTGCTCGGTAGTTGTGTTCGCGGGGAACATGTGCCTGCTCAGCAGTTGTGTTCGCGGGGAACATATTCCTGCTGAGCAGTTGTGTTCGCGGATAACATGTGCCTACTCGGCAGTTGTGTTCTCCGTGAACATATGTCTGCTGAGAAGTTGTGTTTGCGGGGAACATGTGCTTGTTAAACAGTTGTGTTCACGGGGAACATGGTTTGTTTATGCGCTTCTCTCATTGGGGAGGCTGTTGAGGTCATTTCTGGTACAATGCCGAGTATAATTTGCGGTCACTTTCTCCTCGTATTGGATGTACGCCTGGGTTTTAAGGATGAGGACGTCTAGTATGGTCGGTGTTTCTATGCCAACTGCTTTGGCAAAATTGCTGCGGGGGCACAACCCTCGCTCGAGTAAGTACTTTTTCATATTGTCAGTCGTGGAGACCTGAACGGCTTCTCTGTTGAACCTCTCGATGTATGCTCGAAGAGATTCTTCTTTTCCTTGTATGATCGCTTCTGGCGAGGCCTCTGTCTTCGGATGACGGCGAAAGACAATGAAGTTCCTTGAGAACATCTTTCTCAGTTGTTTCCAAGAAGATTCATGGGGCAGGCTTTTGTACCAAGCCATGACACCTTTTCTCAGAATGGTCGGGAACAACCCGCACTTGATTGCGCCCTTTATGCCTCGGTAATCAAGTAGGGTGTCGATGTCTTCTATGTGGTCGTCTGGGTCGGTCGTACCGTCGTAAGATCCCAATAGGGGCGGCTTCTGGAGCCCGGCCAGGGGTCGTGCCTCCATAATTTCTCTCGATAATGGACCGCGGAGCTCGTCGTCATCGGTATCTTCTGGCGATGATGACGGGGAGTGATTGTTTTTTCTTCGTCAGACATCGCCATCTCGTCGAGGGGAGGGGCTCCGCCCTCGTCGCCTCGGTCTGGGTGATAGTGACCTGCTGCTGTCGTCTTTGCAGGTACTCTTCATCTTCTTGGAAAGTGAAAAGTCTTTATCCTTCTTGGGAGATGCTCGATCACGCTTCTTGTAGAAAGAAACGTCAAGCCTTTCCTTTCTTGGAGAACGCCTCTCTCAGGGAGGTGATATGCTGAAGGAGTTATGTCGTCGGTGTCTCCAAGGGGGAGACCTTGATTGTTTTCACTCCAGATCCCCCATCCTTTTGCTCCGCTGGAGGATGTGTGAGTTGGTTCAGTTAAGGGAAGCGATCACTGTTGCTATGACTGAGTCGGCGTTCTGCAAAACAGAGATCATTGCAGAATCTCTGACTGGTCTTCGACAGGGTTCTTGGGAAACTGTTTGTCCAATAATAGATTGTTGTTGCAATCAGCGTCGATGGAATCTGGGGATGTAGTATGTCTGTCACGGGCGCCAAAGTTATCCTTGAGGTGAGGATGTTCTTGGCTTCCGTTGGTCTTGCGTGCCGGGGAGAGCACAGTCTTTCCAGATAGATGGTGATCACCGTGATCGGCCATGATTGATGAATGGAGAGCATCTTTGGTCTTCAGATTTTGAGAATAGAAAACGGGGAAGATAGTTCCCCACAGTCGGTGCCACTGATCTTACCGGTTGATCAGAACCTGCAACATGGCCGAATGATGATCTTCAGACGGACTCGAAAGTCGAGGAAGAAAAAGAGGGGTTGTACCTGCAAGGCACTCCGACGATCAAGTAAGTGTGGGAGCAAAAGGAGATACAAGCAAAGTATTAGGGTTTTAGTGATGAATAGTCAATATTCGATATTTGGCCCTCACATTGAGGGTTTATAAAGAGCCCCTGGCGCTTGACCATTGGTCCCTATTTTTGGGCCTAAATTTGCGGGTCCACTAAAATAGACAACTGTCAGGACTTGATCAAACCGGACAAGTGTGTCCGCAACTAGCCGTTAGTTTCGAGGATGAGGTAGATTATGGGTAGTGGTTTGGTTGATTCCTGGTTGTCTGGCCGACTTGAGGTCGGGTAGAGTGAGAGGCACTTGTCAATTGTCGTAGGTCAGTGCTGGTCTAGAAGGACAAACGATCAATGATGCCCAACTGATGGGGGGAAGACCGGGCCGTGATTCCACAGACTGTGCCGAAGGAAGAAGTCAGATTGGATCCGCTCTAACCATTGGACCAATCTATTACGGATATAATTAAAAATGAATAATTAATGCATTAAAAGTTAAAGAAATCTTACGATAAAAAAAACTAAAGAGAATCTTATAATTAAAGAAAAATGTAATAGTAAACATAGAGCAAATACTGTGCATTTTTCTTTTTTCCAGTTTGACTTAATAGTTTTAAACAATATCTTTATAGTTGCATTATTTATATCCGTAGCAGCTGGCTTTAATTAAAAAGATAAAATATTTCTTAAAAAAGCCAATCATAAAAGTCAAAGGTGGCTACAACTTGGTCCTCTTACACATTATCCCCCACAAACAAGTGGCAATGAAATCAATACAAAAGTCATCATGCACCAAAATTGAATGAAAACAACACATTGAAAAGAAATCAATACAATTCATGAAATGAAACTATGAAAACAACATCACTCTCATTTTACTTATTGGCATTAAAAACCAAAATAGTACTTAACCAAAATCTTCCTACTCATCATCATCACCACCACCTTGACCTCTACTATGAATCCACCACAATAGATTAGTGAATGAGTTTCCATCATCAAAACCCTTCAAACTTCTTATGTTCTCCATACCACTTTCATTATCATAAATCCCTTCCAATGAATACAAGAAACCTTTCCATCCTTCACTAACACCCCTTTTCAAAGCAGGCAATGTCCACTCCACAAGATCCTTCACATAATCAACATCAGAAAACAAAACTTCAGAAATTGGACTCAATGGTATAAGCTGAATTCCAAGCCTAGCTTCTCTAGCCTCAGCTGAAGCAAACCATAATCCACTATCTCTCTTATTATTCCACAAAACTCCCATTATCCTATTCTCTTTTGTAAACTCTTCTTCATAGAGCTTCCCTCCTTTTTTCACCTGCCACCACATTTTTGCTCCAAGAATCTCCAATGATGTCAATGTTGACCCAATGGTCACAAGATGAGGATCACCGTACGCCATTCCCATCAATGCTGCAGCATAGTATGCATTCACAGCTTCACTAGTACTCTCTTGATTTCTTCCGTCTGTAAACTCGGTTAGCCCTCCGGCCCACGAATGCAACTTATAAAGATCGAAACACCTCAAACGTGTGTATTTCGTGTTCGATTTTATACTCAAGTTCATAAAATCTTCCATGAGTGAATAGGCATGTGCCTTATACTTCCTACCCCAAGATGGATCAATCTTAACAAGCACTGCAATTGCATAAACAAAGTATCCTAAATGATAATGATGATCATTGTAAATTCCGAATCCGAAATCACCACCCGTATCATTAGAGCCTTGTTGAGTTATAATTCCTCCCCATTTTGTATCATGTAGAAAACCATTTCCATTGAAACTTCCTTCAAGCCAAGGCTCAATGGTTTCTTTCAAAAACTTTCTAACTTTCTGAATAGTTTCAAAGGAAAAAACCTCTTCTGCTATCAATGCAAGCCTTGCTGCTCTTGCAATCAGTTTTCCATAAAAATACGACGAAGTTGTTGAGATTCCTGATGAGTTTAAGCCTTCAACATCTTTAGAAAGTGATGAAACAATTTCATCAAGTGATTCTTCTTTAACACCTTTGCTTGAATGCCAAGTTATTGAAACGGGTTCCGTTTTCAAAATCCATGAATCACCAACAATACCAACAAGCTCACCATCAATGCTATTATACTTGAAATCATCAAGAACAGTTACATCATTTTCGCTATTAGATAAAAGCTGAAGATGAAGAGGGTGTGCTAACAATAACAAATCACCTGAACCTTCCTTCTCAAACTTATACTCAACACAAAATGGTTCTCTGAGTTTAGCATTACCTGATAAAGGGTAACAAGAACTATACCTATCCAGAACATCTTCGTGTTTTGGATCGGAATCAGGCAACAAAGCGAGGCGAATTATGCCGGAATAGAAATCAGTAATGATCTCAGAATGATAAGGAGTCAATTTGATTGGTGAGGAAGTATATAGTATCCATGTTTGACCATTGTTAAGCTTAAAGTTGAATTTTGTGAGGGAATCATTTGAAGAGAAAGAAAGAATGGCATGAATGGTGGAAATGGAAAGAGGTGTCTGTGATACAGAAAAAGTCAAATAGGGACTTCCTCTAACAAGAAAGACACAGAGACTTGAAAAAGGGATATCTAAGGTAACACCAAGATCACTATAGGAAGAGATTATGTGTTTTCCATCACTGCTTTGTTTGTTGTTGGAAGTTATGGTGAGATCATTGTTGAAAACTTGTGAAATGACAGCAGAACTGGAAGAGCGAGTTGGATAAGAGACAGAAATGGATGAGTTAGATGATTTGATGAGGTAAGGATGAATGTATTCAGGTTGGTCACCATTTTTGAGAGAGAAGTTTTGGAAGAAAGAGTTAGTAGGGAGGGGTGTGGATAGAAGATTTGAAGAGAAGAAGTTGGAGGGGTCAGGGAGGACAGTTGAATTAGCTTGTGGGAACAGAAAAGGTTTGTTCTTGTTGATAGTAGACATTGTTGGTGATAGAAATGTTAATGTTGATGAATTGTGAGTTTTATAGAATATGTTATTGGCAACTACTATATCTACAACTTGCTTCATATAATATTGAAATTGTGAATTAAATTATAGCACAAGTTGATGGCGGCTAAAATGAGATAACAAGGTGGTATGTGTAAAGAGAAATGAGTGATTGATTGAAGTATAAGGTAAGGTACATGAATGATAGACACAAGTCCTTTATTCATGGATCTAAATGTATGTGATTAAGTGAAAGTTAAAGCTAGCGGAAGTCATGATTTTGTTGAATATGTGATAGAAAGAGGTTCCACAATTATTGATATCTAGATCTAGGGTATAACCAAGGACAAACTCAAAACTAAATTGCTAAGAAAATACAAGAAGAATTAAAGTTGTGTTAAATTTTTCTACCTTTCATTAATGCAGCCACCAGCTTAAATACAAACAGAATAACCCTAAAGGGTCTCAACTATGGGTCAGGCCCAAAAGAAATATAAAAGTCAAAAATTAACAAAATAAAATTAACTAGTTGAGAATAAAATCTTTTAAATATTTGGGCTTGGCTGTAATTCTGGTGGGTCTTCTATCACTACTCACCGGCCCAAAAACGTCCTTGTCCTCAAGGATGGGTTTGAAGCATTGAGAATTAAACCCGGTGGCCCAATTTGAAGGTCCAACAGTACCAGGATTTGGGACTTGAATCATGGATCCAGCTGGTTGCACTAAAGGAGAGTGTGGGGTCCCGTTTACAGCTACCCCTGCTGCATGGGGAATAGGTGGCGGCAAGGCATGAGGAAACGTGCTTGCATGCGTGTTGGGCAGTGGAGCAACAGAAAAGTTTTTCTTTGGTGGGGTAATGGACGGTCCAGATGGCAGCATCAGAGAGTCGTTGGGATGCAAAGTTGACGTGTTGGGCATTAAAGTGGCATTGTTACATGCATGCGTTCCATCTGTCCCATTGTCATTAATACTAGAAACAAGTGGGGTTGGTGGTACTTGAACGAGATTTTGGTTTTTGCTTAACTCACAAACATTAATCTTCTCCTCTCTGGGTGGTTGTTGTAACACAAACTCATTTTCAGTTGCATGTGTGGGAGACAACGGCAAGTGTGGGGGTTCCTCGGAGGTGGTAAACGGAGCACCAGCATCCCTGTCTTCCCCATCCAGTGGTGGTTCAAACTCAGGCGGAATCGGAACCTGAAGAGAGTCTCGCACATGAAAAGGGCGTAGTTGAGAGACGTGGAAAACTGGGTGAATTCGTGAAGACGAAGGCAGATTGAGTTCGTAAGCCACACTACCAACTTTGTGTTTAATCTCAAAAGGACCGAAATATCTTTTAGCCAGTTTCTGCGAGGGACGGCGGTGCACAGACGATTGTCGGTAAGGTTGAAGTTTCAATAAGACGCGATCCCCGACGGCAAAGGTACAGTCGACTCTTTTCTTGTTGATCTGGTCTTCCATCAGTTGTTTACTCTTAGCCAAGTTACGTTGTAGTGTTTGTAATAGTTCGTGTCTTTCTTTCAGAGAATCATCAAGAGCTGTGATGGTGGCTGACCCGGCTGTGTATGACGGAAACGAAGGAGGGGTGCGACCGTACAAGGCTTCGAAGGGAGACATCTTGATGGCCGAGTGTTGACTCGTGTTGAACCAAAATTCTGCCAAGTGTAAGTAGTTGAACCATCTTTTTGGGTTATCACTTGTAAAACACCGTAAGTAGGTTTCCAAACATCTGTTAACTACCTCTGTCTGTCCATCTGTTTCAGGATGGTACGCTGAACTAAATTTCAGAGTTGTACCTTGTACGCGAAAAAGCTCTTTCCAAAAGGTGCTGAGAAAGATGGGGTCGCGATCAGATACAATGGACGTGGGAACACCGTGCAGACGGCAGATGTCTACAGAGAAACGTATGGCCAAATCCTTGGCAGAGAAATGGGAAGGAAGGGCAATGAAGTGGGAAAACTTCGTCAACCTGTCGCAAATGACCCAGATAACCGTGTGACCGTGAGAGTTAGGAAGGTGGGTAATGAAATCCATGCTCAAATCACTCCATACTTGCGTTGGTGTGGGTAAGGGTTGGACCAGTCCTTGTTTTCTTTTAGGCATGTATTTGTTATGTTGACAAATGGTGCAGGTTTTGATAAATGTCTTTGTGTCTTTGTACATACCAGGCCAGCGGAAAGAGGATGCCATTCGAGCCAGAGTGGGTTGAAGACCAGAATGGCCTCCAGTAGGGGTGGAATGAAATTCTGTGATGATGTTGTGCCGCAGTTCTGGAATGTCGGGTAAGTAAATTCTATCTTTGTAATAGACAAGACCTTCCTTTTGCTGAAAATTATGTTGGATGGATGGATCTCCCAAAATTTTGTTGATGAGTGCCTTCCCTTGTGACGTTGACAGATAGTGTGATTTTAACTGCTGCAAAATGGCTGGAACTGGTGAAGAGATTGAGAAGAACTGGGCCTCCTCCTCAAGTTGGATTCTGCTAAGGGCATCTGCTACTTGATTCGCTTTCCCAGGTTTGTAATGAATATCAAAATGGAATCCTTGCAGTTTAGCAGCCCATTTTTGCTGTTCTGGAGTTTGTATAGTTTGCACGAGCAAATTCTTTAGACTCTTTTGATCCGTATAAATATGAAAATGTCTTCCAATTAAATATTGTCTCCATTTCTTGACAGATTCGGTAATGGCAAACATTTCTCGAACATACACTGAAGAAACCTGAAGCCGTTTGCACATTTTTTTGCTGAAGAAGGCAATTGGATGTCCTTGCTGAGATAAAACTGCTCCGATTGCAACCGCTGAAGCATCTGTTTCCAGAACAAAAGGAAAGGAGAAATCTGGGAGGCACAAGACCGGTGGATCTGTCATTTTATTTTTCAAAGTTGTAAAAGCATGCTCTGCATCTGTACCCCAATGTAATTTAGTGGAACTCAATAAATCGGTGAGGGGAGCGGCGAGAGTGGCGTAATGGCGAACAAATCGTCGATAAAAGCCGGTGAGACCTAAAAAACCCCTGAGTGCCGTGAGTGAGCGTGGCCTTGGCCAATCAAGAATAGCTTGAATTTTAGTTGGATCTGGGGTTACACCATTGCATGAGATAATATGACCTAAATAATCAACACTAGGAACAGCAAAAACACACTTTGACAATTTTGCATAAAACTGATTAGACAATAGTAAATCTAAAATCAATTTTAAGTGCTTAGCATGATCAGAAATTGAAGAACTGTAAATTAAAATGTCATCAAAGAAAACTAGCACAAACCGTCTTAAGTATGGTCGAAGCAAATCGTTCATAGCTGATTGAAAAGAACTAGGAGCGTTAGTCAATCCAAAAGGCATTACTAAGAACTCGTAGTGTCCATCAAACGTTCTGAACGCAGTTTTGTGAGTGTCCTCGGAAGTTACCCGAATCTGGTGATAGCCAGATCGTAAATCAATCTTAGAAAAAATAGTCGCGGAACCTAGTTCATCAAAAAGTTCATCTATGGTGGGGATTGGGAAACGGTCACGAACGGTTACTGCATTAAGGGCTCTGTAATCGACGCAAAAACGCCAGGATCCATCTTTTTTTCGAACCAAAAGAACTGGGGATGAATAGGGGCTGTTGCTGGGTTTAATTATACCCTCCTGCAACATATCTTTAATGATTATAGTCATTGCATCTTTTTGGGAGTGGGGATAACGGTATGGTTTAACATTAACAGGTGAAGTGTTTGGGATAATTGGAATTCTGTGATCATGGGGTCTGGATGGTGGTAAACCATGAGGTTTGTCAAAAATGGTTGAATAGGATTTGATGATAGAGGAAATCTGGGTGGGAAGTGTTGTGGGAAGAGAGTCAAAACTGTTAGGTGTGGAGGAGTCCTGGAAGTTAGATTCGTTGTCTGAAGGTTGGTAAAGAAGGAGATGGATAGAGGCGATAGAGTCGGTTTGTAGGAGATGACACAAACTGTTGAAAGAGGATGGGGTGATGAGTGTTTTTGTATCGCCAGTTATGGTGATTTCATTGTTGTTGTAGGTGAAAGAAATCTTAGGGATTGAAAAATCAGCCATTAACGGTCCTAAAGTACGCAACCATTCCATACCAAGGACTACATCTGCCCCCTCAATAGGAAGTAAATGAAAGGGAATTAAGAAGGCAGTGTTTTGAAGCTGAATTGGGACAGTTGGGCACATCCCTGAGCAAGATAATTTTGAGCCGTTTCCCACCATGACAGAAAAGTTAGGTATTGGTTTGGTAGGAAGTTTGAGATGTTGTGCAATCCGTGGTTGTAAAATGTTATGCGTACTTCCGGTGTCAATTAGAACAGTAACCGATAGACCCTTGATTGATCCCTTGAATTTTAAAGTCTTAGGAGAAAAATGGCCGTTGGCAGCTTGAGGGGAGAGTTGGAAATAGGTATCACTTTGTTCCAGACTTAAACTGCTAGTCTCCAAATTGTCTTCTTGGGGAGAAGGATCAATCTGTACATCATCATCTACCAATAAAAGGAATTTACCAGCAGTACACTTATGGCCAGGAATGAATTTCTCATCGCAATTAAAACAGAGTCCCATCGCACGACGTTCCTGTAATTGAACATTTGAGAGGCGACGGATAGGTAATTTAGTCGGTTGGGTTGAAATTGATGGCTTGGGTATGGGTGGCGGGTTAGGAAATTGTTGTCCTGGTGGGCTGGGTCTGATGGTAGTTGGGGTATATGGTTTATGGAATTTGGGCTTGGCATCTCTTAACTTGGATTCAATTAATTTGGCTAGTCCAATGGCCTGGGATATGGAGAGGGGTTTGTGAATGGCAATTTCGTTTTGAATTTCTGGGGCTAATCCTGAAATAAAACAATTTAGGATAGCATCGTGAGAGAGGCCAACAACTTGATTTCCCAATTTTTCGAACTGAGCCTGATATTCCACAACAGAATGGGTTTGTTTTAGCTTGAACAATTCGGCTTGGTGGTTAGTATACGTAGATGGGCCAAAGCGCAATTCAAGTG